TATAGGACAGAGTAGAACTGCCCCATAGGGTTTCCAAGGAGCAGCTGGTGGATTTGAACTGCTGCCCTTTTGGTTAGCAGCCGAGCTCTTAACCACTGCGCCACCAGAGCACCTTTGGTTAGTAGTCGAGTGCAAACCATCTGTGCCACCCAGGGACCTTCAAACAAGTCACCAAATGCTCTGACTCATGGCAATCCCATGTCTATCCGTTCCACAGGGTCTTCAATGGCTGATTTTCCGGAAGTCGATCAGGCCTTTCTTCCAGGGTGTCTCTGGTAGACTCAAACCTCTAAACTTCCAGTTAGCAGCTGAGGGTGTTAATTGTTTGCAACATCCAGGGGCTCCCAAACAAGTACCCACCCAAACCCACTGCCGTCGAGTTAATTCTGACTTATAACGACCCTATAAGACAGAGTAGAACTGCCCCATAAGGTTTCCAAGGCTGTAAATCTCTAAGGAAGCAGACTGCCACATCTTTCTCCCGCGGAGCTACTGGTGGTTTCAAACCACAGATCTTTCGGTTAGCAGTCCAGCGCTTTAACCACTGCACCACCAGGGCTCCAAACAAGTACAAACCTCCACAAATTCAAGTAGGCTATGGTCCCAGAGGTGGCTTACATACTGCACATCCATCAGTATCATTACGGAGCACGCAGTGGGGACTCAGTCTTTCCACTTTAGCCAGCGGCTGTGAGATCAACAAACAAAACGAAACAGGCTTCGTCTGGGTGCTTTTTCTACTTACTGGAACAAATATATTCTGCAAGTTTTTCTGCATTTCCACATTTTTCTCCCTCTGTCTCCAGGCCAATTTTTCTCACTAGAAAACAAGAGAGAAACGTTATTTCCTCACATGGTTTGGGGCGTGTTGTTTTCTACCATACACACACACAGGTGTGTGCTTGGCCAGTCACACAGGCAGCCCTCTCCTCAAGGCCGGCGGAGGAGGATCGGGGCGCTGGGTCCCGGCCTCCTCCCCCCCTCAGTTGTGGCTAGTCAGTCAGCCAGGAGATGGTGCGCACGCACGGGGGTCTACACTCTCCTCCAGGGTCTGCATGAGAAAGTCTTCACTTGGTTAGGGAGGCGAGGCCCCATCCAGAAGGGCGGCGTGGGCTGACACAGCCAGACTGAAGGGGGAGGGCACCCACACTTCTGTGAGACACCCCTTCAAAAGCTGAGCAGGACCAGATGACCCTGGCTCCCCACATTTCCCAAACAGCCAATAGCTGGTTGCTGTGCAGAGGCCGGGGAGGGTGAAGCGTGGGCCCCCAGGTCAGCGTTTGCTCCACCCTCTTCTCTCAGGAACATGGAGCACGCTCTGGGCGTTCCACTCGGGCTCACCCAAGAGACCAGCTCAGAACACACTGACCTTCAGTGTAGACATTGCCAGCTCTAATCACGGGTCATTAAAACCTGCTGAGTCACGCAGCTGTCAACTGTGTCAGGAATAAGGCCGCAGAGCAAGCCCAGGCTAGTCCTCCCTGGCGCAAGTTCAAAAGCCAAACCAAACCCACTACGGCAGAGTTGATTCTGACTCATAGTGACCGTATAGCACACAGTACAACTGCTCCCAAGGCACATAAACTGCAGCACAGTCCGTCTCTCCTTGTCTCTCTCTTTCTCCTTTTTAAAAAATGTTCTGATTGTCTTCTACCGTTGACCATTTAACTTTAGTTACTTTTCCTCTAGAGGAACTCTCCTGGGAAACCAAGGGTTTCCAAAGCTGTAAATCTTTACGGAAGCAGACTGCCACATCTTTCTCCTGCAGAGCTGCTGGTAGTTTCAAACCTCTGACCTTTCAGTTAGCAGCCGGATGCTTTAACCACTGCACCACCAGGGCGCCTTGGTCCAAGTTAGAAGGGTCTAAAGGCGACCGAGACCCTGAACTTCTCCCAGGAACTGAACCGGGGAATCAAGGCTGGCAGTGACCGTGGTACTTCATGTTGATATTGGGGTGCACTTTTCCCCACACCTGGGACACAGCCTCTCCTGAACTGCCTTCCTGTCCTCTCAGCAAGCCCCTGCTCACTGGAGCCTGACACGCTGTGAGGGAGACAGTGTGGGCGATTCCTGCACTTCACAGACGAGGAGCTGAGGCGCTGAGTGGGGCAGGGACTGTGTCTGTCTCGTCCACAGCAAGCTCTCAGTGAACATTTGGTCTGAGGTCTCAGCCCCCGAGTGGCAGAGATGGGCCTGAACCAAGCACAGGGAGGCTGGCTCTGCCCCAACGCTGGTACACGCACTTCACACAGCACTCAGGCCAGCGCAAGCCCATCTGAAGGTCGCTCCCCAAGTAACGGCCGACACTGAAACTTCAAATTACTCAAACTGTGTTAAATACACCAAGCCAATCCTAGACAATCCTGACAGAGTATTTTTTACATTTGACGGGGTCAGACAGTGACTGCCCCAATGGATCCAGTTTCCTGGGCTTCTACCTTCTGCCTTTTTCTCTCTTTGCGTCAAATGTCCGACTGTCCTGACCTAGTCGCAGGGGGCCAGGGGCTGCTTGTAGCTGTGGCTTACCCAGAGGCCTCCTGGGTGTCGTGGCAGCCTCTGAAACAGCCCTAGTGGTCCCTCGTGTTGACCCCCTTATGCCACACCCCTCCCCTGGAGTGAGGGCCGGACTTATTGACGCAATCCAAACAAACAACGTGACAGAAGTGATGGGACGCCACGTCCAAGATTTGGTTACAGAAGGGCCGTGGCTCTGTCCTGGGCGCTCTCTCTGGCTCTCCTGATTTGTCTTGCCATCAGGGAGCCAGCTGCATGTCATGAGGCAGCCCTGTTGAGAACCCACACAAGTGGGCTGTGAAGGGGTCTTCCAAATCCTGCCAACAGCCACAGGGAGATCCTGGAAGCAGACATGCCCCCCGCTGGGCCTTGAGGTGACTGCAGCCAGTGAGAGATCCTGAGCAGAGACCCACGAAACCACCTCCAGATTTCCAACCCACAGAAACCGTGAGATAATCAATCTGTTGTCTCCAGCCACTGGGTGCTGGGGTAGTTGTTACGCAGCAAAGGTGACTGATACACTGGGCCTGGCTCCTCCTGGCTGTCAGCGCTCTGCTTCCTCTAGCTCTCCAGGCTCCTGCTGAAGCTCAGGAGGAGCAGAAACCTCAGAGCATTCACACAGTGCCTCTTCCCTGGGCCCATCAAGACAGAGCAGAGCAAAAGGCACAGTGATGCCGCTGAAATCAAACTGAAGTTCGTGTGACAGCGCAAAGCATCTGTTCATCAGCTAATGTGTGAAAGGCTGGATTTGCAGTATAAAAATCAAAGTACAAAAATTCACAAATATGCTGTATATTTGATAGTTAAGTTTTTGGTATATAAATCAGGAATTGCCTGCATGATTTTCTTTCCTCTTCTCATTTAGAAAACAGAAACAGTAAAAGGAAGTACATGAAAATTCTTAACTTAATTTCTGGGGGGATGCGGGGGAGTGGAGTTGGTTCCCATAGCAACCAAACCACTGATGTGCTGAGCTTGGTGGTAGAAGTTCCCCGACACAGAAGAGCTACGCATCCTGTTAATTAACTAGCAACTCCCAGCTGGTTTCTTCTCCAACCTGATTTTGTTCTCTGGAAAACGTGCTGTTAATTCTTAAACTATTTTCACTCATACTGTACCTTCCCCAATATTTTTAACCTCATGTGGACAACTTAAACAGTTTTGAAACAAAGCTACACTTGGATTTATGGTCTTCGTGATGGCTAGGCATTGTTTTAAGTATTTAAAATGTTTTAATGTTAATTTTTAATGAGTCACTGTTTAAATTTTATGCTTTAAAAATACATAAATTCAAGACTATTTGGAAAAATGTAGAAAAAATTAAGAAAATTTTAAAAAACACCTATAATATCATCACCAAAGAGAACTACCTTTAATATTTGGTGATGTTCCTTTTAAGCTTTTTTTGGGGAAGGAGGCATCTATCTATTTCAGTGCCTATATTTTTTAATTGAATTGAAATTGTACCACATACACATTTTTTTTTCTTAATGTTACATTATATTTTCTTATGTTATAAAAATTCTTCAAAATCTTCATTTTAAAAGACCACATAGCCTTCCCCCTTCCCCTTCTCTTCTGGAACAATTCAGCCCTGAGATCACTAGATGGGGCAGAGGGAAAGAAGTGTCCTTGGAGAGGACACTGACTTTACTTAACTACTCCCCTATTACTAGACAGCTGGGAGGGGATTTCATTTTTCATGGTTATAACCAGTGCTATGCCATATATTATCATACAAAAGCCACTTCATTTCTCCTCTCTGGGACTACTACCTTTGGAGAGATGACCTGTAAAGGGATTAGTGGGCCAAAGGATACACTTTAATAGACCTTTGAAAGGCATATTGACCAAGTGTTTCTCAAAAGATTTAAACCCATTTTTGATGACATTTAGCAATATTTGAATATATGCGTTTAACAGCAACCTTATCAGCAGTATTACATATTTAATTACTTTTTGCAAATTTAATAAGCAAAACTATATTTTTAAAAGGAATGGCAGTGTGCTTTTTTCTTTTTCAAACAAAGAAACAAGCAAAGCCATTTTTCAGTATTTTATTTGAACTTTAATTGCTTACCTAGAGAAGCAGTGGCGCTTCCAACCACGTATGCTGGCTTAGCATTCCATTTTTCTTTCAGAGATTTTTTCCAGGCTGTAAAGCACGAAATCCATACGTATGTGAGTTGCAAACACCGAAGTCACCATTGGGATGCTGCCCAAGGTTGCTTGTTTATCCTAGAAACTTGCAAGCAAGCAAACTATTAATAACCAAATGTAAAGACGAGCATCTCAAACTAATATATATTCTGTAGCAAATTTTTTAAAAATCACCTCAGAAAATGTTTCAGCATGCTTTGCTTGAAATATTAACTGGTTTCCAGAGGTGGCACTCCAAGTATTTTTAATGCATACTAGCAAAAAACATAACTTGTAGAAGTAATTTGCATGATGACATTAAAAGAAAAAAAATCTAGACTTTTAAAGAAAAAGTCACTGATTATTAAAAAAAAAAAGAAAAGCAAATTAACTGTCTAATAAAGCAATATAATTGGCTTTCTTTGGGAAATAGATCTCAAAGTCCACAAACTGCAATCTCAGATGAGAGGGCTGCTCACAGATCTGCTAGGGTCACAGTAAAGAGAATAAATTTCAGGTTCACACTTCTTCTTCTTCTTTTTTTTTTTTTTTGCAGCTTACTTGCCATCTTGCCTGTGGATCTTGGGATTCATTGGCCTCCGCAGCCTGTGAACCAGAGCCCTGCCGTCTGACCTGCCGATCTTGGCTTCACCAGCCCTTGTAGCTATGTGAATCAGGAGAAACCTCAAGCCTAACCCATGGACTTGGGATGTTCCAGCCTCTACAACTGCGTGAGCCATTTCTTTAACATAAATCTAGCTCTCTCTATATATTTATACACTTTGCTGGTTTTGCTTCTCTAGAAACCCAGCCTAAGACACCGTACTTAGAGAAAAGTTTCAGCCTTCTGAGTGTCCAGGGCTGCGAGTGGTGGCTAAAATCCAGGGCTGGTGTCTAAAGGAATAGCTGCCAAGCTTGCATGGGGCTTTGCGCTCATTATGAGTGTAGCTGTTAAGATGGCGGACCCTCTGGGGCAGGTGACGGCCAACCAACCATAAAGTATGGTTTCCTCAGCCTACCAGTCAGGCATTGAGCTTGCTGCTGTCCTCCGTTCTCCAAGCCCAGGAGGACCTGGTGTTTTCAGGTTCATACTTCTAAGTTTCATACAGAACACCATCATTTTGTGATTAAAAAATATCTTTAAATATGCATTAAAGATCAATAAGCAACATCGCGATAAACAGAGAAAAGACTGACATTGTAAGAAATTTCATTTTACTTGGATCCACAATCAACGCCTATGGAAGCAGCAGTCAAGAAATCAAAAGATGCATTGCATTGGGCAAACGTGCTGCAAAGGATCTTTTGAAAGTGTTGACAAGCAAAGATGTCACTTTGAGGACTAAGGTGTGCCTCACGTGCATGCGAAAGCTGGACAATGAATAAGGAAGACCAAAGAAGAAATGATGTCTTTGAATTATGGTAATGACGAAGAATATTGAATATACCATGGACTGCAGAAGAATGAATAAATCTGTCTTGGAATAAGTACAGCCAGAATGCTCCTTAGAGGCAAGGATGGCGAGGCTTTGTCTCACGTATGTTGGACATGCTGTCAGGAGGGACCAGCCCCTGGAGAAAGGCATCATGCTTAGTAAAGTACAGGGTCAGAGAAAAAGAGGAAGACCCTCAATGAGATGGATTGACAGTGGCTGCAAAATGGGCTCAAGCATAACAATGATCGTGAGGATGGCGCAGGACCGGGCAGTGTTTCCTCGTGTTGTTGCTGTGAGTTGGAACTGATTGGACAGCACCTAACGACAACAACACGCATTAAAGGGATACAAAGAGACAATGGATTGTAAGAATATATCACAAGGTCACTGGATGTTCGATACATTTTTAGAAGATAGGGAAACAACAGTTCTTTTCTAAAATCCAGTTATGAGCATAGGTTTTCCTTAAATTTAACAGTTACTCTCCCCTTTTCACTCATACGGGAAATACCCTTTTAAAGAGTAACCAAAGATTAAGTTTCACCTTCTTCTCTACCGCACAAATGTAAATAATATTTAAAAATTATCCATAGCATGTGAACACGCTATTTCCCAGCCTTGCAGCAGAACAACACTGAGGGAGCCTGGACTGAATCTGATGTGCTGTCAGGCCAGCTCTGCCCCTTAACTCGTGGTGGGCTCCTGCGCAAGTCAGTTAACCCACCTGGTCTGTTTCTTCATCAGGAAAATTGGGTCACTTGTGCCTGTTCCGGAGCCCTGGTGGTGCAGTGGTTAAGAGCTCGGCTGAGAACCAAAAGGTCAGCCGTTCAAATCCACCAGGGTCTCCTTGGAAACGCTATGGGGCAGTTCTACTCTGTCCTGTAGGGTCGCTGTGAGTCGGAATTGACCCACGGCAATGGGTTTGGTTTTGGGTTGGGTATGTCCGTCCTGCCTGTGTTATACAGTTGTTGTGAGAATCCATGGAGGAAGGTATGTGGGAAAGTGCTTTGTAAACTGTAAAGCACTACGTGCAAAGTCCCGGTGGACACTCGGCGGGTTTCCTCTTTCTCATCATCTTCACCCGCAAAGCTACATAAAAGAAAACAACACGATGGTAAGACAAAGCACCCTGAAGCACCTCCAGGAGAGAACACCTATGAAATGTGAAATATGAAAATAACAGTGTGGCTGGTTCTGAGTTGCCACACTGATTCCATGGCACAGATCTTCCCCCTAAGAAAAGCATCAAATCTTTTCTCCAACAAGCGTTGAAGGTGTATGGGAAATCACCGAGACAGCAATTTTTTTAGGCTACAGTGAAAGCCTAATTAAATACCCACCCCCACCACTGGTTGCCAGTGAGTCAGTATACAGTAGGCGCTCAGCGAATGCTAGCTACAAAGGTGCTCGTTCAAACAGACTAAGAAAGCTGTTGTCCGCAGTGAAGTCCTGGGTGCTGTTAATGGGTGGTGCCGTGTTCACACTGTTTGATGGAGAAGGAGGGAGGCAGGAAGAAGGTCAAAGAGACGACAGTGTCATGAAGGGCCTGCCACAGCACTGCCCGTGTCTCATACATGGTTGGATTTTCTCATTGTCCCTGCGAGGAACATGGCACGTATCCTATTTTCAGAGAAGACTGGCACCTGATCTATTCTGAGTGGAGATGTACACGCCCAGCAGGCGAACATTTAGGACTGGGGGAGAGACATTGGCCTGGGAGTTCAGGATGGAGTCGTATCTCCTGTTGCCGAGGAAGTAGCTCTGGCGCGGCTCCACTAAGTGCTCACTTCCATCAAAGGTCAGCATGTAGTCCTGACATTCTGTGTTGGACATTAAGAAACAGTTTTATAGAAGAAAGGTCATCTTATGCTCCCTTCAAAGGTCACACAAACACGAAGTAACTTGGTACCTAAACATTTTCTAAGCTAAAAGTCATGGTGTTTTTCAAACCTGAGGTGCCACCGTTTCTGGAATCTGGTATCCCCAGGGGAAAGGGAAGAGTCAATAACAGCCCAGTGGACTTCACGGCAGACCCATCCTCACCTTCAGTTTTATTGTCCTTCTCCAAACACAACTCCACTGCTTCTACTGCTCGGGGACTGGTGAAGATGAGTCCCCCGTAACCTTCAGGATGAGACAGCTGCACACCAAAAAAGCAATAAAGGCATTTCATACGATGGTTGAACTCCAAAGGAAGCACGCAAATGCTTAACAGAAGAAGTAGGCAAGCTAATTCCATCCACTCCTCCATCCACTCATCTACCCACCCTCCCATCCATCCACCCACCCATCCATCCATCCATCCACTCATCTACCCATCCATCCGCTCAGTACTTATTGCATGCTTACTATGCACCGGGAACTATTCTAGGTCTTTTAGAAAATGCCGGTGAATTAATTAGACATCAGCCTCTCCCTCAAGAAGCTCACAGTCTGGGGGGGGAAACAGACAGGGTAACAACTGTAACTCAGCCTGGGGCTGGGATGGAGTGCAGACAGAAGGGTAGACTTGACCTCCACTTGTAGCAAAACTAGAATATTCACGGCGTGATATCCATTCTGAAGCCTTGATTTTCAAAGATAATAAAAAACCCATTGCCATCAAGTCGATTCCAACTCATAGCAACCCTACAGGACAGAGTAAAAGTGCCCCCACAGTTTCCAAGGAGCACCTGGTAGATTCGAACTGCCAACCTTTTGGTTAGCAGCCATAGCACTTAACCACTATGCCACCAGGGTTTCCTGAAAGATAGTAATGGGACATAATTTACTCAACACTTATTCTGAGCCAGGCACTGCGCTGTTTTATATACATCACCTCACTGACTGTGAAATGACCCTGTGATATGGGTGGCTGGTCTCATCTCACAGATTTAAGAACCAGAGGCTCGCAGATGAGAAGGAACTGGACCCCGGTGAGTGCAGGGCAGAACTGAAACAGGTGCCTCTGTGAGCCCTGCCCGTGCTCTGACTCTCTGCCTGGCATATGCTTTCCAGAGCACATTCAGAGCCCGCGTGGTGGCACATTGGCCAAGAACGCGGGGGAAGAGGCTTCCGTGGATGTCCCATGTTTGAGGACCTCTAGAACCTAGAAATGACCCCAAATCATGAGCTCTTCTTCCCCCTTTTGCAGCTGCTAATGGACGAAGATTCCGCACCAATGTGGGCCCCTCTTACATAGTTCCTGAAGCCTGCAGACCTGGTGCCTCATCACGGGAGCATAACAGATGCCCACTCACTGTTTGTGGAGGAAATTACTGAATGAGTAGTCCAACATTCGGTCCAAACCAAAAGGGAAAAACAGCAAGGCCTTCTAAGGAGTGTAGGCAGAGTTTAGGTGTGCAGAGCCCAGGGTGAACCCCTGGTGCTAAGAGAGGCCATGGGGCTCAGCAAGCAGGGCTAGGCACTCCCGTCCCAGGAAATCACCAGGCACTCCCAGCCCCCTCGTCTAGAAAGGAGCCCAGGGAAACGCCCTGAGGGCAGTGGCAGGGCTGGGGCTTTACTAGGACACTCAGTCGCCTTTACTGGGCACGACTCCTGAAATGTTTGTCACCCTACAGGGGGCAGCAGAACTGAAGTGGTGGGGAGAAGTCCTGGGTTCGAGTCCCATCCCTGCCACTTACTTGCCGGAGGCCCTGGCCAAGTTGCCACCCTCGGTCTCAATGACCTCATGTCTAAAATGGGAAGAATAACACCTGTTCGGCCTGGTTTGCAGTTTAGGGGTGGGAGTGGGTTAAATGAGAGGATGAATGTGAACAAGTGGGGGTGCTGCTGTGAGCAGTGCAGGAGGTCAGTGTCTCCTGGGCCTCCTTATAGACCCTGCCTCTCCCAGTCACAGGGAGACTTTCTGGAGGAGTAGACACAGACACCCCCAGAGAACCCCGACAGCAGCAGTGTCCTGGAGCTGGGCGAGACTGGGCTTCCCCTGTGTTAAAGACGGGCGGGGAAACAGAAGGGTATTAAAACAGGTCCCCCAGCTTGGGCTGGCAAAGAGTCTATGAAAAGCAAACACTGACACACTGCTGGGCCTTACCTTCTCGGAGAAGCTGGGGAGAGACAAAAACTCAAATGATAAAACAGGGATCAAAGTAGCTTCAAGTCCATACAATCCTAATTCCTGCAAATGAAAAGAATACAGTTCTGGGTTGGCCAAGCCGCCGTGAAGATAAGGAAAGGGTCATGGGGTGACATCAATGACTTGTTCTGTGACCTTCCTCTGAATTTCAGCAAATACCCCAGCCCTCCTGAAGTCATAAGTAAGGAGAAAGAAGGCAGCAAAGCTCAGGCTTCATGGCCCTAAGAGTCGCAGGTCACTCACCCTGATGTACGGGTCCTGGCCACAGTCGTCCTCTTTAGGGTCTTTCAGTAAAAGAACCTTCATTACTACCTGGCAGTCCTCACCGGGCACTGAGACACAGACAGAGAGAGGGTCTTAATTAGATTCCAGAGAGTGTTCCTAAGCAACGTGGACAGGACGGCAGCGCGCACTGGGAGGAGGTGATCAATCGCTGGCCCAGCGGCACAAGATGACTCAGCGTTAATGGGCTTGTTCCCTCTGTCACCGATAAGGACGAGGGCAAGCATGGTGGGACATGATATCACTTGGAAGGGCCTACAAAGCCCATTAGTTACAGTCAATGTCAGACACCAAACACTGATGGCCCTTTGCAGAGACGCGATGCAAGTTCTGGGTGGAATGGGGAGCAAACGGAGAAATGGCTATCTTACATCTTAAGGAGGTGAAGGAATGATTATTTCCATTTCAAAATAAGTATACTAAAGTAGCACATAAGCCCTTTAGGAAATAATTATACTGACTCTTCCACTTCTCAAACGATGCTCTGTAAGTGTTGTCAAATGTCATGAGATGATCCTTCAAAACTTTTCCAAAAATCTGAAAAACAATTTGTCAATACGTATCACACGCTTTATATAGTTCATACTCTTCCTTCTTGTAACTTCACTTCTAAGAATGAATAACAGGCAATACTCACAAATGTGTGCAAACACTAACAAAAAGATGTTCATCCTGGCATTATTTATAATTGCAAATTACTGGGAACAATGCAAATGTCCAGCAATGGGAGAATGGTGAAATAAATCATAGCACAGTTATGAAATCTTTAAAATACTCATAATTACATGGAAAAATGATCACAAAATATTAAGTGGAAAAAAAAGCGGGATTCAGGCTTACATAAATATTAAACATAAACTGCATAAAATCTTATAGGCTTTATATATACATACATATGAAAGAAGGAGCCCTCGTAGCACAGTGGTTAAGAGCTCGGCTGCTAACCAAAAGGTCAGCAGTTCGAATCCACTAGCCGCTCCTCGGAAACCCTATAGGGCAGTCCCTATGAGAATCAACTCAATGGCAATGGGCTTTTATATAAAAGAAAATGCACCCAAATATTGATAGTAATTATTTCTGGGTGGTAGATTAGAATTTTCTTATTTACCTCTTTCTGTATTATCCAAAATTTTTTACAGTGGATATGCTGTTCATTGTACTGTACTGGGGGCGGGGTGGGGGTGGGGGGAAGTGCATTACAACCACCACAAGGGCCTCAAAATAAATGCTGGCAAAGAACTGCAGGAAAAAACTCTGCTTGAAGCACAGATTATCACCCCATATGAAGCATTAGACCCACAATTAGTTGCTTCATAAATATTACATGATGGGTGATAACAGTCAAATGGAGAATATGGTTTGGAAGAAAAATCTGTTAACTCTGGGAGCCATTATTTATAAGTTACTGTGAACATATTTCTGGAATATTATAATATCTATGAGACACCTTTGGAAAATTGGCTCAAAATTTGTATCTAA